GAGCGGCTGGTAGTTTCGAACCGCTGACCTTAAGGTTCGCAGCCCGATTCGTAACCACTACCAGAGCTCCTTAGAAGGCTATAAATTTAGCCTAGAATCCTTAGTTTGTTTCTTATTCTTCTATAAATTCAGCATTATATGCTAAAGACAGTCAACCCAGACCCACAAACCATCTGCAACTGTAATATCACATATAGTATACATTAGAAATACTATAGCCCCACAGAAAAGTTAAGTACATTAGTGAGAGTTGGGCCTGAAAAAGTTAGGAATGCAGTAGAAAATGCATAGCTCATAAAAAGAGGAAGGAAATGGCTGTGAGACCTTATGACCTCGAACGGAGCTGTGAAAGGGGAAGACCTAATGCACAAGTAGTAGTTGTTAAGACCACAATAATTTATGTAACAAATATTTATGAAGTTTCTATTCTGTGTTGGCCAATATTCTAGGCAGTTAAGAGCACAAATCAACTCCCTGATCTCAAGGAGCTTACACTTTTAGATACCGAAACAACTGCAGTTGAACCGATTTGGACCATAGTGACCATTTAGAGTAGAGAAGAACTGTTCCTGAAGGTTTTTGAAACTGTAAATTTTTATGGGAGCAGACAGCCTCATGTTTTCCCTGAGAAGCAACTGATGGTTTCAATCACCAATCTCCTAGTTAGCAGCCCAATGCTTAACCCACTCTGCCACCAGGGGTTGGCTGTTGTTGTGAAGTGGGTTCCAACTCATAGTAACCCCTGTATAGGATTTCCAAGGAGCGACTGCTGGGACCAGGGCTTTATTGTTGTTGTTAAGTGCCTTTGAGACGGTTCTGCTCATAGCTGACCTTGAGTTTCAAACCAACCATGAGGTTAAGTGCTTATCCTAAGGCCCCACACCAGGACCATGGCTTTAGTAGGTCACAATAAATAATAAGAAAACAAATATATCAGATGGTGATAAATGCTATTGAAAAAAATATATACAGCATGCATCCCAGAAGCAAAGGGAAGGAAATGTTTGAGGAGAAAGAATGATCAACTGTATCAACTGGTGTAAATAAGATGAAAAAAAAAGAGGCCTGAGAAGTGATTACTACAACAAGAGATATGTGGATCAATAACAGCCACCATGAGTGCTATACTTTGGTAGAGTGAAAATTTTCTGGTCAAGGGTTCAAAGGAAAAAAGGTAGAAAGAAATTACAAATGGCTAGTATAGACAATTCAAACTAGTAGTCAATGGGGACCATATTCTGAAGAGAAAATTTTTTTCTGATATTTGTAATATGATGAGAATAGAGAGAGGGTAAAACTGATGATGCAAGACAGAAAAGATAACAGCAGGAGAGATCATGAGTAAGCAACTAAAAAATGGGATCTCCATGAGAGTTGGCTTTACAAAGAGTACCGAGTCTATCTATGTGAACAAGAGGAAAGACCAATTAAATGAGGCCAAACAAAGGTGACGATGGGAGTTTGTGGCAGTTCGCTTTTGATTGCTTACTTCTTTTTCTATGAAATGGGAGGGTTATCCTGAAAGTGAAGAAGAAGAAATAAGGTGTTAATGGAAGTTGGAGCAGGATGTGTAAAATAGTCCTTTAAAAGACTAAACTGACTGGACAAATACATTTCTAGGAAATCCAGGAAGCAATAAAAGCCTTACTACAGTGGTGGTTGTTGTTAAATACTGTTGCATGGTTCTGTCCCATAGCGACCCTGTATAGGGTTTCTGAGGCTATAAATCTTTGAGGGAGTTGAAATTTTCATCTTTTTCACACAGAGTGGTTGAGTGGTTGCTGGGTTCGAACTGCTGCCCTTGTGGTCTGCAGTCCAGTGCTTATCCTACAAAACCACCACACCCCCTCACTACAGTTAGGGGTATGGTTTTTAAGTGAGATCAACTATCACAAATTCCACTGCATTGGTACATATATATTTTTTGCTTTCTTCATGTATGATGTTCTTGATGTCATCCCACAAGTCTTCTGGTTTTCAGTCATGACTGTCTAATGCATCAAATCTGTTCTTCTGATGGTCTCTACATTCAGGTGGGATATACTCAAGGGCATGTTTTATTTCGTCCAGATTTGTTTTAATTTTCTTCAGTTTCAGCCTGAACTTAATATGAGCAACTGATGGTCTATACCACAGTCAGACCATGGACTTGCTCTGGATGACAATATTGAGCTCCTTCATCATGTAGTCCCACAAAAGTAGTCAATTTGATTCCTGAGTAGTCTATCTAGTGAGATCTTTTAATGTTGTTGAAAAAGGTATTTGCAATAAATAATGAATAAATCACTGATACTGAAAATTTCTATCATTTGATCTCCAGTATAATTTCTATTACCAGGGCCATATTTTTCAACTACTGTTCCTTACTCTTTATTTCCAGCTTTTATATTCCAATAACTAGTAGTTATCAATGCATTTTGAATGCATGTGTATCAATTTCAGACTACTGAAGTTGGTAGAATTCCTCAATTTCATAACTGGCTTTAGTGGTTGGTGTGTAATTTGAATAATAGTTGTATTAAATGGTCTTTCTTGTAGGCATATAGATATTATCCTATCACAGACAGCATTGTACTTCAAGATAGATATTGTAATACTCTTTTTGACAATACATGTGATGCCATTCGTCTTCATCTTGTCGTTCCGAGCATAGTAGACTATGTGACTGTCTAATTTAAAATGGTCAATACCAGTCCTTTGCATTTTGGACAACTTCTAATAATTATTTTGGACAACTTCTAATAATCTATACTTGATACATTGCATGTTTCAATTATTAATGGAGGTCTGCTACTGTTTCTTCTCATTTTCATTTGATTATTAAAAAAGGGAAGAAAGAAAAGATAAAAATGGGTGGCAGAAGAGACTTGAAACTTGCTCTTGAGTATACAGAAGCTAAAGCAAACAGAAGAAATGAGGAAGTCAAAGAGCTGAACAGAAAATCTGAAGACAACTTGAGAAAACAAAGTCAAGTTTTATAATGAAATGTGTAAAGACTTAGAACTAGAAAAACTAAAAGGGAAGAAAACACTCAGCATTTCTCAAGCTGAAAGAACTAAAGAGAAAATTGAAGCCTCGACTAGAAATACTGAAGAATTTCATGGGCCACACCAAGACTCCATTGAATGATGTAGAACGCATAAAAAGCAGATGGTACACCAAAAAGTATTGGTCAATGCTCAACCATTTCAAGAAGCAGCATGTGATCAAGAACCAATGGTACTGAAGGAAGATGTCTAAGCTGCACTGAAGGCAGTGGTGAAAAACAAAGCTCCAGGAATTGAAGGAATACAAATCGAAATGTTTCAACTAACTGATGCAGCAATGTAAGCACTCACTTGTCTATGCTAAGGATGGACAACCTAACAACCCATATTTGTGCTTTCATTCCAAAGAAAAGTGACCCAACAGAATGCAGAAATCATTCTTTCTGCATTCATTACTATCACATGTAAGTAAAATTTTACTGAAGATAATTCAAAAACAGTTGTAGCAGTATACTAACAGGAAACTGTCAGAAATTCAAGCAGGATTCAGAGGAGGATGTAAAATGAGGGATATCACTGCTGACATCAGATGAATATTGACTGAAAGCAGAGAATACCAGAAATAAGTCTATGTGTTTTTTATTGACTATATAAAGACATTCAACTGTGTGAATCATAATAAACTATGGATAATATTGTGACGAATGGGTATTCTACAACACTTAATTGTGTTTATGAGGAACATGTACATAGGTCAAGAGGGAGTGGTGCCAACAAGAGATAGTGAATGATTTAAAATCAGGAAAGATGCACACTAGAGTTGTATCCTTCCATCGTACTTGAATAAACATTCTGTATGTTAAGTAAATAATCTGAGAAGGTGGATTATATAAAGAAGAACATGGCATCAAGATTGGAGAAAGACTCATTAACAATCTAAGATATGCAGATGACACAACCTTGCTGGCTGGAAGTAAAGAGGACTTAAAATACTGATAAAGTTCAATGCCTTTCAGTATAGATTGAACCTCAATGAAAAGTAAACAAAAATCCTCACAACTGGACCAATAAACAACATCATGATAAATGGAGAAAGGATTGAAGTTGTCAAAAGGCTTCATTTTGCTTGAATCCACAATCAACATTCCTGGAAACAACAGTCAAGAAATCAAACATACTGAATTAGGCAAAGCTGCTGCAAAACACCTCTTTATGTATTAATGAGCAAAGATGTCAGTTTGAGGACTAAGGTGTGCCTGAGCAAACCATGGTATTGTCAATGGCCTCATATGCATGTGAAAGTTGGGCAATAATAAG